GTTCTGGTTATTTCTGACCATGCGCCAGTCAGCACGCTCTGAGGTTGGGTCTCTGACACCTGCTGTCAGGAGCTTTCCTAAGTACACATACAAGACCATCAGGAAGCCCATAAAAGCAGCACCACTTACAATTAAGAGTAAAAACTCTGAAGGGGGAATGAGGCTGTCAGTCACTGCTTACCCACTGAAAAGGGCAGATGCACTCCTGGGCCTTCACTCCTGGCTCCTTGGCACTTAAAGGCGTGAGAGCTGCTCTTCCCTGCTCTCCTGCCCTGGCTCCAGGCGTGTTAGCTATTCAGAGCAAGATACGACCTTCCCCACCTACTCACTCTCAAACAGTCTTCAAGGTCTCAGAAACCAGGTGTGTCATTAAAGCCTGACACCGTCAAGAACAACCAACCTAAAGGATGACACTGTTGAGGAGTCACGGAAGCAGCACGTCGCCAGGACACTTAACTTGTTACTCAAATGATTTGTGTTTTCAACACTCCCCACCAATGTGTTCTCTAACAGCTACAGCAACTCTTCCTTCTCACAGAGCAAAGATGTGGATGCAGGAAGCAGCATCAATATGAGAGATGGAACTTTGGCACCAGGAGAATTTTTGACTCCCACTCCCTCAGCCCCAGAAAAGAAAAACACCTTTTGAAAAGCACTTAAACCCAATTAACAAAACTCTAGCCTATCCCTTCCACCCTTTCTACTTGGATAAAATTAGCTCTCTCCTTTGTCCTTTGGCCAGCTTGACATTCTCTGGGTCAGTCTCTCCCTGCTTGAGCAAGAGGTCCCAATAAAGAGTTTGTTCCTGTTATATCTATGCCTTTATCTGGTTCTTTTAATGGAAGCACAAGAATCTACTGGAGCCTTAACACAATTACCCCAATAGCATCTCCATTCCTCCTGGGACCTGAGAGCGACTGTAAGGAGGAGTGGACTCTTTTACTCACTGAAGCAACACTGTACCCCTGAGGGTTATGGCCCAGCCTGGGGATCTGGGGTCAGGGAGTGTACCTCCTGCATACCTTGGGGAAGGCCAGACTTCCCAAGAAGTCAGTCTCATTTTCTCTGTGCCCCATGAGAAGAAAAAACAAAGTGTGTGGTTTCAAAAAGAGAGGCAGCAGAGGCTCTTGTCGCCAAGGGCAACACTAATGATTCCATGTGGGAACTTTCTGGTCAGCTTTGTGCAGAATTTGGTATAAGCTCTGCCTAGTTAGTGTGATCATGAACTCTTCAAGGGTAAGGACTCTGGGCTCTAACTGCCTACCTCAGAGCCCGGCACAGTATAAGCGCTTATTAAATGCCAAGTACTGATAACATGTGGATCAGATTGCGTTCCCCTCTGACTCCAGCCCTGGGAGGGACACACAGCAGCTATGACTTACACTCATCTCCATCATCTATGGCACCTTCCAGATGGAGTTAAATGTCAGACCTGTGCTGAAAAGCAAAGGTAACCTGTGGCAGAGCCTGCGAGACATTCTGACAGCTCACTGGGATGGCTGTTGCTGGGACTCCGCTGGACTCCCATCCTGAATCAGGCCTTTCCCAGCACTTCCTCCCACTTCCTTCTCTAAAGCCTGGACTTGTCCCTCCCCCAAACCAGTCCAAACCATCAAACTCACCTTCTAAAAGATGTCTCAGAATCACTTAACCTCACCCTGGGTTATCTGCAAAGAATCCCATTTAAATATTTTATACTCCATTGAGATGTCCTGGTTTCTTGTTTGACTTGTTGTAACAGTGGTGGCCCTTTGGGAGTTGTCCTAGACAGGGTGTCTCCCTTCCCTTTGCCTGGCATTCTAAATTCTAGAGAAAAGTTATACTTGAGTGACATCTCTGTCAAATGTTAAACAATCTTTCTTCCAGATGTACAGAGCCCAGAATATCTGGGGCCTTCAGAGAATACCAAAATGGGCAACATTCCTCCTTATTCTTGAATTCTGTGCATTAACTAACAAAACATATAAATTGATGCAATATTTAGCTTGCAGAAATGCAATATGTTTGTAAATAGTTCCAGGGGGCGAAGGTCTCTTGTAGTGAGGTCAGATGGGGGGAAGAAAGAGACACAAACCCTGGATGATCAGGACCCTGGGCAGCAGGAAGCTTGCTTGTCCTTTGTCCCCTGATCCTCCTTTCCKTCCTTATAAAAGCCCTTGGTGACCCATGGATTCCCTAAGAAGGGGCTCTGAGGCAATAGCTCCCCCATTGTTCAAGATGCTGGACCTTGAATAAAACTGATCTCCTTCCCACCAACACTCATCTCAGAGTACTGGCTTTCCAGCAGCGAGCAGCTGCACCTGGGTCTAGTACCATTCTGAGCTGCAGAAGTTATAGATCATCTGGTACTTTAGAGATGGTCTGGTCTACCAGCAATGAGGGACAGACCTTATTTTTTTAATTGAATAAAAAAGACTCTAATATAAAAACCTCAGTGTCACATGTAATAAGGGTGAGTAACATTTCATAGAACTTTGGTTTCAGCTACAACTACATAGGAGTATATGAGGATTGCAAAGTGAAATGTATCTCTTCTAGTGAGTCATCATCTCAAAGAGTCTGAAAAACACCAATCTCCTTCACCTATGTTGCCAACAAGGAAATTAATGCACAGACAGGTAAAGCATGTTGCCTGAGGCCACCAAGCTGGTGGTTTAGGAAGAGCTCCAGGTCCTCCTCCTTCCTAGGTCAGTGCTCTGCTCACTACCACCTGCAATTCTTTGGTTCTGTGCCAGAGAATACCTCCAGAATGAGGCTGTCAGAGACCCTAGTGAGTCCCCAGTCTTGCCAGAGCTGGACTTGATCAGCTGACCTCAGGCAGGGGTAGCTGGCATGGAGGGACTGGAAGCTTTGGCTGAGATGGTTTTGTACACACAGCCAAGAGTGGCCTTGACTTTCATCTCAAGAACTTTTAAAGCAATTACTAAATTAGGGCAAAAGCACTTACAGAGGCCACTTGAAGATGGATGTCAGGGCTAAGAGGCTCTCCAGCATGTCGGTGGCATTTGTCTCTCTCTGCAGGAGAGCAGGCCAGTAGAGGAGGCCTGCAATGAGATTCTAGGCTGCGATCTGGGTAATCGCCCACCCATTCAGAATCAGTTGCTCTCTCTAGGTACACAAAGAGTACCCCCCTCTGGAAGGGCTGCCTGACTTTGCAGTGGCTCCTCCAGGTCAGAGGGAATGGGGTGAGGTGGGTAGAAACTGATCCAGCTCCCTCACTTTATAGATTAGAAAACTGAGGCTCAGAGCGGCCAAGAGACTTGAGCAAGATCACAGAGCTAGCGGGTTGCTTTGCCATCCCTGATTCAGATCTTCTGATTTCCAGCCCCGCCCCCATATCTCAAATCTACACACAAAGCACCTGGATATCTTGTTACAATGCAGATTCAGTGTGGCTGGGGTGAAGCCCAACATTCTGTGCATCCCTAAGGTATTTCAAGTGATGCCCAATGCTGCTGGTCCATGTACCACACTTGGTGTAGCCAGCCTCGACACCATGTTGTCTAGAAGGATAAAAGCTCCTTTAAACTTCACCTCTGATTATATCAAGGCCCAAACTCCCTGCTTCAGGCAGACAAATCCTCTAATACTGACAAAGATACTAATTTAAGACAATAATTATTCTTTTGACATGCATCAATTACTTGTATGCAAGCACTGTTCCAAATACTCACACATATGATCACATTTAATGCTCACAACTCTGACCATCCCTATCTGACAGATAAGGAAACTGAGATTCAGAGAGGTTAAGTAACTTGGCCTAAATTGCACAGCTAGTAAGTGGCAGAACCAAGATTCTCACTCAAGTCTGTCTGATACCATGGTTTAATGATGTAAAAATTACATACAAGTGCCTCTCTCAGATCTTCCCTTCTCTGAGCCTTGRCCACCTCTCCCCAGGATTCTCTTAACAGTCCTCCAGCCATTGTGCATCCTTTAGCACTACAGGCCTCAACTCCCCCAGAATGTGGACTCTTTCCCCCCCAGATTTGTATCTATCCCAGTGAGCTATTTTGGGAGTTACGTGGGGAAGGCCCAGGATGAAAAGGAGCTGGGGCTCAGGGTGATAGGTAGATGGAAGCTTATGGTGATCTATTCTTTTTTGATTGGGTGTGCTTCCTTTAGGGCTATTTCAGCATGGACTCTCAAATCCCTCCACACAGGAGCAAACTTTGTAGGGAGGGATCTGCACAGTGAGCAGGTGGTCTGTAGAGTCACATAGCTGTGGACTTGTTGGGGATAGATTCCTACAGAATACGAGCAGACCCCTGGAGCAGGACAGGGGTGTGCGGCAGAGGCATGGGGTGGTGCTGTCCTGTTGGTATACATCCAACCTCTGCCCAAACCCAGCCCTGGGTTTCAGCTTCACCTTCAGGGTTACAAACCACCCTTAGTTATACCACATTCAATCCCATGCTTCCCAAATGTGAGCTCACTGTGTTGAACGTCTATAGTGATTGAATAAACACAGTGCCCATGACCACATGTCCGTTCTCATGACAGACCTCATGCCCCTGTCTCCTGTCTCCTGGAGAAGCCGTGGAGGCAGAGAGAGCAGCGAGGACAGGGGAGAAGTCAGGAGAGGCAAATTCATTAGGCCACCATATAGATGTGCTGCCTCTACAGAGGGAGGGCCAATTCAGAGTTGGGAGGGGCCCAGAATGCCAGATAGGCCATCTGGCTCTATCACTTAGAAACTGCATTCTGGGGCATGTTACTGAACATTTCTGTGTCTCAAAGTCCTCATCTGTAAAATGTGGATACCAGTAGATGGTCCCTAGCTCAAAAGGGTTGTGAGACTCAGAGTGTATGGTTAGTACTAAATAGGAGCAAGGGCTTAAAAGTAGATATGCGATGGAAGACACCCCCACTCCACCCAGACAGTGATAAGGAGGCATCACACAAGGATCCATGGAAAACGGAAAGTGCTCTTTATGTTTCTGGTTTCTACACACAGGCACAGAGAGCACAGAGAGCGGTTGAGACAGGGTACCCACCTTCTAAGGGCGTATTCCAGTTCAATCTTCTCCTCATGGGCTTCTTGGAGTTGGGAGATGATTCTGGTTAGAAAATCTTCAAAGTTGGACAGCAAGTGAGGTTCGTCCTTCTTCAGATGCAGCCAGAGTTGCTTCACGTCGTCTTCGCTGCAAGAAAAGGAAGGATGTTAAGGTGGGAGTGGAGAAATGAGGCTCTGCAGGAAACGAAGTGGTTCCCAGAAAGGAAGTGGACAGCTGGAGACGACATCACCACCATCATCATAAAAATGAGAGTAAGAGAGCTGCACCAGAGGCTGAGGCAGGAAGATTGCAAGTTCAAAGCCACCCTCAGCAATTTAGCAAGGCTCCGAACAACTAAGCGAGACCCTGCTCAAAATAAAAAATATAAAGAGTTAGGGCTGTGGCTCGGTGGTTAAGCACCCCTGAGTTCAATCTTCAGTACCAAAATTCAAATAAAATAAAATAAAACAGTAAAACAACTAGGGAGTAAAGTTGATACAATTACGCTATGTGCAAGTATGATCATATCACAATGCATTCCAGTTTTATATCCAACTATAGTGCACCAATTAAAAATAAATGAATGATAGTAGCTAACATTTATTGAGTGCTTGCTGTAGGCAAGATGCTTTTGCACATCGGCTCATGTTATCCTCATGGGAAGCCTGGGAAGCAGATGCTGCCGTCATTCCCATTTATAGATGCGGAAACAGAGAGAGGTGCAGTGTGCTGTGATCACCGTCATAGACGATGGAGTCGGGGACATGCTCTGGGTGGACATGACTCCAGCGATGGGCTCCTTTCCTACCTTGCTCTGCTGCTTCCACTCTCTGTGTCTGCCACAGTGGGCTAGAGGTGTGAGCACAGGCAGCAATGTACTCACAGCAAAAATGCCAAGGAGAAGCAAGGTGGCTGGGAGCCAGTGAAGGTGAGGAAAACTGCTCGGGAGCTAAAGGAACAAGCTTGTCACTTCCAGGAAGAATGGTCTTCACCACTGAGAGGTAAAGACATACCATCTGATGGATGGTAGAATGCAGTTGTCACTGTGGGGAAGGGAAGAGAATAGGCAGCACCCCTCTGGGGCCCTGTGGCATGTGAGTGACTGGCAGGCGAATAAAAGGGAAGGAGAAGTCTGAAGGATGTGGACGCACAGAGGGAAAGACAAGTGGACGGCTGGGAGACGTGGAGGCAGTCAGAGAGATGAGACGCAGAGTGACAGGCACAGAAGCACCCTCTAGAAATGGGCCTGCTAGAGCCTGAGCCCACCCAGCACAGCAGCAAAGACTCGTGGGGCTACACTGATCATCAAAGGGAGGACGAGGAGAGAAGCCACATTCCTGGGCCCTGCTCTCCTTCTCTGGACTAAAAAAATCTATGGCCGRTGATTGAAATAAGTCAAACATAAATCTGATTTGCCCCCAACTGAGTTACAAAACCAATATGATTCTAGGGCAGCTATGACTATGTCCCTTCAGGACAAAGAATAAAATCCTTTGGGCCTATGTAACAAGCGCTATGTTTTAGAAACTTTCCTCAGAAGTGATATTTCGATTGGGCCATGTTAGAAATGTTCTTGGGGAACAGGTATAATTCTCTGCACCCAGCAGAGAAGAGGCCCTCTGAGAAATAAACCCACCTCTGGTTAGTGTCTGTTCATCTCTCTGCTCCCTTCCTCCCTCCATCCCATGCTTTTTCACTACCATTATTTCTTGCTTCCGTTCCATCCAAACATCTGCCTACTTACTGAGACCAGCCAGCCCGCCAGCCAGCCATCATGCATGCACCCATCCACCCACCCACCCATCTATCCGTGCACTCATCCATCCAACAGGGGTGTGTGGCAGAGGCATGGGGTGGTGCTGTCCTGTTGGTATACATCCAACTTCTGCCCAAACCCAGCCCTGGGTTTCAGTGTCACCTTCAGGGTTCCAAACTACCCTTAGTTATACCACATTCAATCTCATGCTTGAATATTTATCATCTATTACAAACCTGGCTCTGTACCAGATGATATGAAGGAGTCCAGGAGACAAGAGGAGGGGAGGTAAGGAGTCTCTCTGCTTCCCAGAATTCCATTTTCTCCATACAAACCATGTCGTGGGTGTCTACTTCATTGTATAGGCAAAATGTAGATGGCACAAAGGATTCAGAGACAAAGGGTCTCTGAGAGACACCCTGATGACCTTCCATCCTTGTGGAAGATTGAACCCCACTGGGGTATGAATGATTGTGAGCCTCCAAATTTCATATGCTGACATCCCAACCCTAAGTGATGTTATTAGAAGGTGAGGCTTTGTGGAGGTGATTAGGTCACGTAGGCAGAATCCTCATGAATAATGAAAGGCGCCTGAGTTTCTTTCTTTTTCACTATGGGAGGACATAGGGAGAAGACAGCTATCTATGAACCAGGAAAAGGGATCTTACCAGATATCAAATCTGTTGGCACCTTGATTTGGACTCCCTAGTCTCCAGAACTATGAGAAAATCAACCTCTGTTATTCAGAAGGCACCCATCTATGAGTGTTTGTTAATAGCAGCCTAAATGGATTAGGCACCCCTTCGTGAAGTACAAGCATTATAAAATGAAGGTCCACCTCRCTAGCCTAGGTCATCTGTTCACATCTTCCACGTTCCTATGGAGCCTGGGAGAGCAGCCAACTGGACTAAAAATGCCAATGAGATTTGCAGACCCACTGGCCACTCTTCCAGTGGTCTTTGAAATTCTTTTTAATGGCCATACCATATTTTCTGACTTTTGAGGAAAAATAAGCCAAAGCCCACAAATCACTGGGCCAATCAGACTGCCAAGGAAATTGGGGCACCTCTGGACACACTGAGGCTGCCCTTATGGAGGGAGATAGGCCTGCAGACCAGAAGGGTCCTGGGAGATGAATAAATCTATCTCTCTGCTTCCGGGACAACACAGAAACCATGATGCCTTTGGATATCCAAGCAGAACTTTTGAATACCTTTGAAGTCTTCACAGCCTCCTCTACTTCCTCTCAGGGGTCTCCCAGTCACGATCATTTCTGTCATGCTGCAGCACTTCCCTCAAATTCAGTGAGGATGGACTTTGCGGTCAGCACCAATTTTTCACAGACTACTCTTGAAACTTTCCCAGTGCCTTCTCTCCTCTRGAATATCTCATTTTAGCTCACTTCTGCTCAGACCTATGGCATAGGTCCCCAGAGTAACATCAGGTGAGTTCTGACGTGACAGTCCCCCTAGGAAAGTAGCTGCCCTGGAGGTGAAGAGCAGGTGGGGAGGCCCCTTTCTTTCATGACAGGGCCTTGGCTCAGCTCACCTGCACTGCGCTCTCCTGCCCCTCCTCCAGGAGGAGGCTTCACAGGGTCCCTGGCTGTGGCCTCTGGGCTCTGGTCTCTTGTCCTAGGGGAACCTGAATCAGATGTTTGACTAGTGAGCTTCCCCACAACCACCTGTGCCCTGCACTCCCCCTGCCCCCTCCATCTTCCACTGGCCTAGGCCCTGGCAGCCACTTCTGGGCTGCTGCTCCTGCCCCTGCTGCTGCTGTCAAGCTTTACTTCCTGTCCAGGGCTTCCTAGGAGGCTCCCTCCTAGGCCAATGCTGTTCCCCTCCCACCTGGCACACCTTAGCCATCCTTTCTCACCTCCAACACAGTCCACCAATCTGTTCACAAAAAATTTCACAGAGCTCTGGCCTACATAGTATGTGCAGGGCCCTTATCTCTTGCTCCCTTTTCTACCATGGTCCCTTTTCTTCCCAAGCTCAGGAAATACCAGCTCTAATCATTACGCTTTTCCCAGCCTGCAGGAAACCCACCCAACCCCAGACCTAGAAGCCAAAAATGGAAGGGATAAAGGCCACAGGGAAAGGGCCATGGTGTTTACATAATCTTCAGGCCCACTCTTTGGTTTCTCTCAGCTGCATCACACATTTTATTATTTTATCTTATCATATTGTGTCTTATTTTATCATATTTTTATTTTACTTTGAATGTCAGGGCTTAAGTCCATGTGTTTCCTCATTCAAAATTACTTTGTAGAATACAAATAAAAATTAGGGTATTGTATTATTTGAAGTTCCAGCCCTCTAATTTTTTTCAGTTGAGCTAATGATGATCCAGATGGTGGACTAATGAAACTGGTTAATTTCCCACCTGGTCTTCCTGACAAAATTTGATTTGCTCTGGGATACAGCATGCAGAGGCCTCCCCGTGAGAGGCCTTTGCCAGGCCCTCACCCAGCCAGTGGCTGAAGTGCACCGTAGACCTGGAGACCCAGGGTTGGCTCCATTGCAGGTAGGAATACTGGTGAGCTGACGTCAACAGGAAGCATTAGAGAAGAGTCAGTGTGAACCCTAAGGCCTGGCCTGGACCTCTGATGTGGGAGCACCCCTTGGAGGATGAGGCAGACCCAAGATTTGTGATGATAATGTACAGCAGGAAGGGAAAAGTGGAGAGGGCAGGAGAAAAGGAGAAYAGGAATATTTGCCAAATTTTAAAAAATATAATGTAGAGACAGATCTGACTGTCAAAGGGCAGGATGTAAGAAGCAGGGAGCCTCGCTGGTCAACCATGGGGACTGTCACTGCAGGCTTAGCAAATACGAATTATTATTGGAGCAGATGAACAAATTCCTCCTAGGCTGGGCTCCATCCCAGGTCACCATTCCCACTTACTCTTCCAAAACTTTTTGGGCTCCTAGTTTGTCCATCAACCTCTGGAACTGATCAGCTTCTTCATCTTGGTCCATGTTGCCCAAATCTTCATCCCCTCGGAACTGGTACACCTTCTCCTCTTGGAGCTGGGCCACCTGTTCACCTGCATCCTCCTGACCTGGATTATTCTGGCTGAAGAAGAAGTGACCTGGGGGTACAGGGGACAAGCATCTCAATTAGACAATCCTCACCCAGGAAGGGCTTGGCTTTCTCTGTTGCCAGGAGTCATTTGAAGTTCATTTGAGAGAAACAAAAGGGAAAACCTCTGATAGCAAAGATCTGTGGGCATAACGCCCCAGACTTTGTGTCTTGTGTTTCCATAAGATTCTTCTTGATGCCAGACCCTGGGAAAGGCAGATGCCTGACAGGTGGGAGGACTCCTTTGTGGTTCTCAATCCTCTACAGTCTGGTTTAGAACACATTTGTTTGTTGATTTTTACTTTAAACAAAAATCTCTTTCCCTCTATTGCCCTCCAGCAGCCTGAAGACCCATGGTCCAGAGCATCATTCCTGTCATCCTCCCCAACCCTGCTCCCCTTCACAGGTGTGTGTCACTCTGCACACTCACACTGGATATAACAGAAATGTTGCTGGTTGGTTTTTCTGATCTGATAATGTGTCTGGGTTCATTATCCTTTTTGTGGATCTCAATTCTCCTTCTTGCTGGTTATTTTGAGAAGGACTGGTCTATTCAAATGCTCTAGGAATTTCTCTGATGGCTGGTATCCATCTGACTCAGCCACCCTCAAATTGAAATAATCCATATAGTAGTCCCATTTCTTTTCCTTTTCACTTTTTTTTTTTTTTTTTTTTGTATATCAAGGCAGAAAAAGAGGGGCTGAGACTCTCATCACAGCTCCCTCTTTATGCTAAGCTTTCCAGAGCTCCCCTCCATTCCCCTTGCCATTCTCAGTGGGAGGGGCCTGGGCAGGGACACTGGATGGGTAGTGGTGTAAGCAGTTGATGTGGGCATGTGAAAGAGGCCCCCAGTCATCTAGAATCTGGCAGCCTTGAGCTCTGCACCCCTGAGATGAGGATAGGAAAGCCCATACTGAATGGTCTGCAGACCTAGAGGGGAAAGAAATGCACTTTATGTAGCATTAGGCAGACTCACCTGGGGTGAGTCCTGGGACTCCTAGTACCTATCTAAACTTACTAAATCCAGTGGTGAACTCCTCCGGGGTCAGAAAGCCATTTCCATCAGCATCCAGGGCATCGAACACATCTTCCAGTTCCTCCAGGCTGAGGGGCAGCTCCTTGTGGAGCCTCTGAAAGCAATCCAGACCGCACTGGTTAATCTTTGACAGTCCTGGGGGCTGACCAGGACTGCAGGCCCTTCTGCCTAAAGTGTCTAGAGTCTGACTGTCCTACAAGAGCCAGGAGACAGCTGCTGTGTCCAGACTGCTTTCCAGTCTTCCTCCTCCCATGCCAGGGAGAACAGCTGCCACAGGTATAAAGCTACCAAATTTGTGGTGATATAAAGCTACCAAATTTTTGATGGTGGAGGGGGACTACCAGGGATTGAACTCAGGGGCACTTGACCTCTGAGCCACATCCCCAGCCCTATTCTGTATTTGTGTTTTATTTAGAGATAGGGTCTCACTGGGTTGCTTAGTGCCTCACTGTTGCTGAGGCTGGCTTTGAACTTGCGATCTTACTGCCTCAGCCTCCTGAACCATTGGGATTACAGGCATGCCTCACTGTGCCTGGCTCCAAACTGGCACTCTTAATATTTGTACAGGACCAAATATCTGTAGGAAGACACTTCCATGACATGGTGATATAAAGCTAAATTAGATAAGGAAAGTAAAGTATAGGACACAGCACGTGGTCTGTGAGAGAAGGCACTCAATTAAAGTGGGGAGGGAGGGGGGAAAGGAGCAAAGGAGGGAGTAAGGGAGGGAGGGAGACCAAAGACACAGAGAGAGTGACCCTCCATGGCCTGGAGGCACCTGGTAAGTGAATGGCAGAGTTAGGTTCTCCATCCTGGTCTTTCCCTCTACACAAACCTCTCTGCCATGCCGCCTCCCCAGGGAGCAGGTGCAGGTCACTCACTCTCAGAGGCCTTCTATGTTGAAGGCCCCTCATGCCCCAGTGCCCCAGTACCACTTTTGTAAGTTTCTGGATGCACACTTTGGTTCTCAGCTCTGAGGGGATGGGTTAGCTCCTCTTCCCTTTGAGTGGCCCATGCTCATTACCCCTAGTGTGTGTTCCACTCTGCTCCCCTATGGCTGACCCCTAATTCCTGGTATTAACTACCAATGGCTTAAGGTATCAACCCCCAAGAGTATTTATACTTTAAAGGGGGACAGAACAAGATGGTGTGAGGGGTCATAAAAAACACTGGACATGACCCCTGGGCTGAGTAGCCCTTGATGGCATGAGGAACAAGTGTCTGAGCTGTTGATGTTTCCTTCTGGCCTTCTGCCTGATGGGCAACAGCCCCAGGTCAAGGTTAATGTGCTTTATTGAAGCCAGTGTCCTCTCATGCCCTAATAATCTGTGTCCAAATGAGGACTCCCCAAGGAAGTTCATAATGTCTCAGCTGATCAACTACCCCTCTTCCTCCCAGTCACCCAAGGGGCAATTGCACAAAACTGCTCCCTTGAAAGTGACAGCTGAAGACAATGAACACAGAGCTTTATGGAAAGGAAGGTATATACTCACCTGAACAATAAAACAGAGCTGCAGGTGTGAAAGCCTGTAATATGGCTTGCAAGAACACTTGGCGAGATACTACAGCAATCTCCTAGCTGATAAGCCATGAAGTTTAATTTGACAGGTACACGCTTTACAGGAGACTAAGATGCATTACAAAGTGGGGAGAGAGAATGATGTGAAACCCATTTTGAAAAACTGAATTAAATATGTATGGGTTTTTCAAAAAAGAAAAGAGAATGAGAGGATGTGTAAAGATACTAGAAACGCATCTGCTCAGCATACAGCAGCATCTCTGGCTTAGCACAGTCTATAAACCAGCTGTCTCAAAAACCTCAGCAAGGGAACATGGGGTGAAGATGGAGTCAATTTTGCAAGCAGGAAGTTTATGAGCTCCACTTGAAACAAAAGGTATCACTGGAGCTCCTGGCAAAGGCAGATTCCAGTCCTTTCCATGGGATAAGCCTTCCTCCCTCCCCTTCTCAGCCTGAGGTTGCTGGATCTGATGGAAAATAGGGGATTTCATGTTATGCTGGACCTTGAAATATGCTGGAAAGAAAGTCCAGAGRTCTGTGGGACCTTCAAATGCCTTCCCCCCATACCTTGTCCCCTGCTAGCATGAACCAGGGAAACTCTTCCATACCTTATTTGGGCACATTCCTCAATCTAACAATACTTGGACCACAAATGCCCCAGATTATCTAATCCTAATCCCTCTTCTCTACATTACAAATCTGAACAATAAAACAGAGCTGCAGGTGTGAAAGCCTGTAACATGGCTTTTTTTTTTTTTTTTGGTATTGGGGATTAAACCCAGGGGCAAATTACCATTGAGTCACATCCCCAGCTTTTAAAAAATTGTTTAGAGACAGGGTCTTGCTCAACTACCAAAACTGGCCTTGAACTTGCAAYGCTCTTGCCTCAGATTCCAAGTTGTTGGGATATGAGGCATGCGCCACCTGGCCATATCACACCTGGCCAACTTCCTCTCTCTAMTGTAGGTGAAGATGGGGAGAGCTATGCTCTGTCTTCCAAGTAATTCCTCCTCTTGGCCTGGCAATTAATGCTGACTGCTTCTTTAGCCTTTTTTGTAAGATGTACTACAGCAGTTTCTTTAACCTTTTTTTGTTGGCTTTACTTGAAAAGTCTTTTAGTCTTAATAACCATAATTACCTCTTATTTATCTTTCTTCTCAGGGCCTGCAGAGCCATGTAAAATCAATTTATTCTGGTATGGTCCCCTGGGCACCTGGTGCTGTCTCCATTTTTAACGGAGATAAGTAGGGTGGAGGGGAACAAGATTATTTATTCCACTGCGCAATAGGCCCTGGAGGTTCTGAGATCCTCCGAAAGTGGCAGTGGAGACCAGAGCTGGGATAAAGAACTGATTTCTCATTCAGGGCCTAAGGAAAAGTCTAATGGTTTTCTAATGTCTAAATTCTTACCTCTGTGTCTGCTCTACACCTTTCCACCTACCAACCCACCACCACCACCACCATCAAGTTCAAGGTCTCTCTGGCCAAGCCCACCAGGAACTAGTCTTCTGTTTCACTTATCACATTTTGCACATAGCAATGGGAAGGTGTATTTGCCCTGGTCGCACTGCCCACAGCCCCAGGGGCTCTTGAGGCCTCCCTGACTCCTTGAAACCCCAAACTCCTTGAAACTCCTTTTTCATTCTCAGCTCCTGTGTCACTTCCTCAGTAAGACCTTTGCAGACATACAGACTCCCTGAGCTGCATTTCCCTTGTTTACAGTCTTATCTCAGTTTGCATTTTGTATACCCACAGATGCGATTAGCTAAATGTCCTCTCCTGTGGTGTGCTGAGAACAGGGATCTTGTTCATTTTTACTCACTGTTGTGTCCCCAGGGTCTAGTCCAATGCTGACAAATGTGAAGTATTTGGGTATATGTTGAACAAATGAGTAAATAACTGCATGACTAAGAGCGATGGCAGGAGATCCTGGTATCTTCGTATCTTCAGGGCGTTGGTCTAGACCTCACGTGCTCCAGATCCTGACTAGCCATGCCGCTGATTCTCAGCAAGGGCTTACAAAGTGAGACTTTCCAGGACCTGGTACAGGAAGTGAGCCTGCAGCAGCAGTACTGAGAGCTCTCCCGAGCCATGGCAAAATGATGGCTTTCCTCGTACTCCAGCCAGATCCCTGGACCTTCCTGGTCACCAGCCCAGGAACATGCCTCATGTGGCTTAAAGCATGTGGTTGCACAGCTTCAAACATGCTCAAGCAAAACTTCCATTAGAGAGAAAGCCAGAAGAGGTCCATGTTTATGATCTTCTGCCTTTGGGGGCATCCATAGCATTCTGTTCTGCCTTCCCTGGGGTATATAGCCCAGCTCCCATTCACCCTAGGGGGGATGGGAGGTTGGAGGAGGCAGCATCAACCTCTACCCTGCTCTGTACCTTGGTGTGCTTGGTTTGGGCTGCCTCACCTTGAGCTCTAAGGAATGGAGCCAGCTAGCTATAGAGTGAGACTTCTGAGGCTGTGAGTCCTCAAATTAACTTTTCCTCTTGGTATAGACCCAGGTTTCCCAACATCTGCATTCCTGACATCTGGGAATAGAAAATTCTTTGTTGTGGGGGCCAGTGGAAGGGAAGGAGGTGGGGGAGTGTCCTGTGCATTCTAGGTTATTCAGCACCTCCCTATCCTTTACCTACTAGATGCCAGTAGCAGCTCCTTCTCCAGTCATTTCAATCAAAACCATGTTTTCAGACATTGCCCGAGGTCCTCTGGGGAGGCAAAATCACTGCCACTCATGTAGACTGGACACAAACAAGAGTAGCAGCCACTGGGCAGGACTGGAAGGTGCCCTTTTTAGCAAAAATGCCCCTTTTTATCTCTGAGGCAGGACAGATGACTCACATCCAAAGTCACACTGGATGGTGTAGCCATTGTGGAAAATGGGATGATGTTTCCTCAAAAAGTTAAAAATAGAATTGGCAAATAATCCAGCATCCTAACCCCAAAGAATTGAAAGCAAGAACTTGAAGAGCTATTTGGACACCCATAGCCACAGCAGCTATTATGGTATGGATGTGATTTATCCCCCAAAAGCTCAGGTGTGAGATGATGCAAGAAGGTTCAGAAGAGAAATTATTGGGTTGTGAAGTCTTAACACAATCAGTGAATTAATCCTATGTGGTAACTGAAGATTGGTAGGGTGTGGCTGGAGGAGGTGGGCATTGGGGGTATGTCTTTGGGGTACATATTTGTATCTGGTGAGTAGATCATGTGAGCCACTTCCCTCTGCTATACTCTTTCACAGTGAGTCTCCTGCCTCACCTTGAGCCCTAAGGAATGGAGCCAGCTAGCTATAGAGTGAGACTTCTGAGGCTGTGAGTCCTCAAATAAACTTTTCCTCTACAATTGTTCTTGTTGGGTTATTTAGTCACAGAAGCTAAAAAGCTGATTAAAACAGCAGTGTTTTTCACAAACAGCCAAGGGGTGTAAGCATCCTGAGAGCCGACTAACAGATGTTTAAACTTCAAGTGGTACATACTTAACAGTGGGACATTCAGCCCTATAAAGGAAGGAAATTCTGACATGGGCTACAATGTGGATGAACTCTGAAGAGGCTAAGTGAAATAAACAGATGCAGAAGGACACAGGTCGGATGATTCCATAAAGAACAAGTACTTACTGTGGAGAAATTCCTGGAGACAGAGAATAGATAGTGATTGCAGGGGCTGGGGGAGGGATAGTGGGGACTTACTGTTTTGTCAGTACAGAGTTTCTGCTTTGCAAGATGGAAAGAGTTCTGGAGATTGATGGTAGTAATGGTTGCCCAACAATGTGAATGTACTTAATGCCATCAAACTGGTTAAAAATGGTTATGGTGGCAAATTTMATGTAATGCACATTTTAACACAACTTAAAAACATCACAGTGTGGAGAATACCAGGGACCAGGCTGAGATGTGGTACCCACACTGTGCATTTAGGGAGGGATCTCCAGGTCTCCGTGTTGCAGCTAAGTGCCCTACATGCATAAGCTCATTTAATTCTCCTCTAATGCTAGAAGGTAGCTATTAATAATTCACAGCTAAGGAACCATGGCCTGAGGGGTTAAGAGACATACAAATTCACATTACTAGTAAGCTTCCAATCTGAGATCACAACCCAAGTCAATTAACCACAAAAATCTTTTAAAGTTTTCAAGTTAAACTAAATCAGAAGTCAGCTAACTTCTTCTGTAATTAACTTAAATCAGAAGTCAGCTAACTTCTTGTGTAAAAAGCTAGATAATATGCATCCATTCAGTCTTTGTCACTACTACTCAACTCGGCCACTCTCTTGGGATCATGTAAATGGATGAGCACAGCTGTGTTCTAACAAAACTTTACTTATAGAAAAGGGTATTGGGTCAGATTTGGTTAGTCTGCCAACCTCTAAAGGATTCTTAGCCATTTGGCTTAGCCTGAATTCTAAGACAGTGTTATGGTTTGGACATGAGGTATCCCTTCAAAACTCCTGAGTTTATGCAGGAATATTCAGAGGTGAGCTGATTGGATTGTGAAAGCTGTAACCTAATCAATCCATTCTAGTTTGAATGGAGTGACAGGGTGGAAGCTACAGGCAGGTGCAGGATGGCTGGAGAAGGGGAGTCATTGTGGGTATGCCCGAGGGTGTATCCTCTGGGCCTTCTTTCCCTCTCTCTGCTTCCTGGTCCCCAGGAGGTGAGAAGATTTCCTCCACTGTGCCATTCGGCTTTCCTGTTCTGCCTCATCTTGGGTCCAGGGCAATGGACTCAGCTGTCTGTGTACTGAGATCTCTGAAACCAGGAGCCCCAAATAAACTTTCCCTTCTCTGAGCTGTTCTTGTGAGGTATCTTGGTCACAGGGACAGAAATCTGACTTAACACAGGGAGGTGGGTACYTGGTGTTGGTAGATAATCTTTTTAGACCTCTGAAAGCCAGAGAAGTAGGGTTTTTGAGGCTCTTGGTTTTTTCAGAGAGCCTTTGGCCCCTCCTTTCCCCATCTTCCTCTGTGCAGAGGAGGAGTCCCTCAGCTCCTCCCCAGACCTCTCATGAGTGTCCTTGAGGCAGGACTGGTACTTGGGACCCTCTGTTTCTCTAAGGTACTGCGTCAGCACCAACCCTGAAAAGCAGCAATAACCCCATCTCTGCCTGGAGGAGTCTCCATGAAACCCGAGAGGTTCCTTGAGGAGGATGGTGTGACACCGAGGGCCCACTGGTGAGGCACAGGACTCTAAACTCCCATACCCCTGTTCATACAGGTCAGTGTCCATCACCTGCAGCCCTATACCAGAAGGTCCCCACGTGGAGCTCAAGCATCGGGCAGCTGGTGCTCCTACTCTCCACGTCACCCACCTCTGCTTCCTCCAGAGTTCCTTCAGGGGCCTCAATTTGAAAAATCTGCAGGACTCCTCCTTTGTTCTAGGTGCATACAGTATCCTTTCGGGCTAGCTACCTGCTGGTGGGCTCGGACCACTGTGGCAGTCTCCCCACCTTTTGGATAATTGCTAAGTTGATCTTGCCATCTGCAAAAAAAGGTGTTTTTTGTTTGTTTGTTTTTAAGAATGAGAAAAAAGGTAAAACACATCAAGGGAGGAGCTTAACTTACTTTCTCCTTTCTCAAAACAATTGCAGGCTCTGCAGAACCTTCTTCCAACTGTGCTTCTTCACCAGCTCCTGCGACCACTACTTTTCCCCTCCACTGAGCCCAGTCTCCCATGACAAATGTGAGCTCTCTCCYTTCCCTTCCCATGAGGCTGCACTGGGGATTGAAGGCAAAAAGGCAATGGAGGCCTGGCCCAAGGAATGGGAGTCATCCCAGGGAGTGGTCGCACCCAGAGAGCTACGTGGGGGGTGACAAGCCAAGATGCCTTAGAATCTGCCAGGACTAGCACGGACGGGGGATTCCCACAGGCAGCCATGGTCAACTCTGAGAAGGCTGAAGGCTGCTCTTCCTCATGTCTGTCTTCCCATCCTATCTGCCTCCTTGGGTGGCCAGAGGGATGGCGGTTCCATGACCTGCTTTGCTCTCYCTCCATCACACTTTGGCAGTCTGAAAGCTTCAAAGGCTCCATTGCCCGCAAATGGAGGAAAACCTTGAGAATTAAGTAGATAGTAGAAATAAATGGCTTGAGTGCAGCAGCCTGGGCTCCTTGGCTCCTCCATCTCCTTTTCCTCCCACCTGGATCAGGAGGGATGTGGAGAGGAAGGTAGCTGGGACTAATGTTTCTGATCACATCCCAAGTCGAATACAAATGATTTATCTATAAATGTATACTTGGCAGTTGAAATTCACTGAGTCTCTTCCATTCTCATTAAAGAGAGGGGTTCAATGAGAGTTAATGGGGAATGGATACCGAGAGTACTGAGCTAACAGCACACATGGCCCAGAGTTGATGCTCAATGCATGTGAATTCCTTTTCTTTTTTTCTAGCTGAGCTAGGCAGGCAGAGTCTGGCAGGACAGTACAGTGGCACTTGCCTAGCACTGCCTAGCGTGAGCAAGGCCTTGGGCTCCATCCCCAGCACCCCCGCCCCCMAAAAAGTTAAGCATGTCCATTAAAACCACCCTAACAAACACTTCTACTGTGGACCTGTGAATGACAATTATGAAGCTCCTAGGTAGAGGTTAGTCAAAGGGCTCCTTGAAATACCCCAAATCTGGCCTTCCATGTGGAGTGGGACTTGGGGAATCTGTTTCAGCAACAGAAACTTATTARGGAGCTAGTTGCTGAAAACAAAGGGGTGCAGAGCTGGTGTTGCTCCCCAGGTCTCTTCCCTGGATGTGCATAATGGTGGGATGACCCTAGGAAATGCATGCAAACCCCATCCTGTGGGGCCAGGCAGAGGAAGAATCCAACACTTTATTTCATCTGGGTCACAAGCTCCTGCTGCGTAGCTCCCAGGGACRAGTGGAGATGGCATGATACTGATGAGTGTTCATATTTCATTGCCCAATTTTACTATATTCTGAAAATTTAGACTTAAACAAAACCTGRCCATCATAGATTTTCCTCCTGACAGCACAGGCACACATCTTTTCCAAAAATGCTTTTAACAGAGCACACAAAGATGAGGTGAGGGCTAAGAGTTGCTTTCACAGTACTTGAGTGGGGCCTGTTTTATTTACTTCCAACTGGGTGACATCATCAGTAAGACAGTGAGAAGACATTGTGACAGTTAAGGTGGAAACTCACTAAACCAGAGCTTGGAAACTACACCCCTGAGCTGAACCTGGCTGTAACCTCTATTTCTATGGTCTATGAGAATAGTTTTTATAGTTTTTAAATGGCTGAAAAAGAAAGACCCAAAGAAGACTAACATTTGATGACATCATGAAATTATATAAAATTTGAATTCCAGTTCCATAAATAAAGAGTTTTGGGAACTCGGCATGCTCATCTATCTGTTTATACATTGTCTGTGGATGACTTCAGGCTGTAACCACCAAGTTGGTGAAGGTGAGAGAGACTACCCACCTACAAAACAGAAAACACTSGTTCTCTGGACCTTTATAAGAAGTTTGCTGAGCCCACCCTAGCAATGGTGTGCCCCTAGGCTCTGCCACAGGCTCTCCCTCCAGATGTGCTTTGAGAAGGTTGAGAGCAAAGGTGACATGATGCTCAGAAATGCCCTCTCCCAGCATGCTGCATTGGACACACGCAGCAGAGATGACTTCGTTGAAAACAACAGATCCATGCCTTTCTATCTCTACTCTCAGAAGGTTCTTCTCTGTGTCTTACTTAAGTCTCTTATGTTACTATCATCATTCCTCACAATCCTGGGGAGTTACTCAATCAGAGAAGGGAAACGACCCCCAGTCTGACCTCAGGTAAAGGACAGAAATAGAATGAATGCAGGAGGTCCGGGTCCCAGTACAGTTTGGACTGACCTTCCAGAACCGAATTGAGGTCTTTTCTGTTAAGGATGTCACCTTCTGTGGGGCAGTTCTAGCTCAGGACAAGAATTCCCAGGCTCCTGGGTGTTCCAGGTGGGCTGGCCCAGCTGGGACCCTTCTTACCTGCAAGTCCCTTCTGGCGATGAAGCCCTTGCCTTCGGCATCACAGGTCTGGAAAAATTCCTGCGACTTCCTCAGCATGGCCAGCTGGCCTGGCGCCTGCTTCTGGGTCTCCCTGCGCTCCAGGTGGTCCTGTGGACTCAAGCAGGCGCCGCTCCCATCCGGCTCCCCGCCAAGTCCCTGGGGTCTGCGGACCACTCTCTCACCAGGGGTAGCCATACGGATTGGCCAACTTCTCTTTCTTTTCCGAACCTAAGTATAAAGATGGGTGAGAGAAACAGGTGTGATGAGGACAGAGTGGGGCTGGAAAAGAACCAGAGGGGATGAGAGGGAGGCGCAGAGCCAGTCACTGGTGTGTCCTGACATCTCTTAGCAACCGCCTCTTAATTAACAGAAGCTCAGGATGCAGAAGAAGTGTGCCAGAATCGACAGCTAAGAGATCAGCTAGTCCGAAGGAGGGGAGGAGGCAAGAGAAGAGAAACAGGAATTTCCATGTTGGAAGGAGACGGGTAGAGGAAGCCTGAAAACAATTTCTCCTTATTTAAACAGCCACACAACAATTAAAACAGATCCTGATAAGCCAGCTGCCCTTTATTGTTTTCTTAGAGGCACACTTTATCATAGCCTCAATATATCCTTTTTTTTTTTTCATGGAATTTTCACATCCCTCTGAGATGGATATTATTCACTCCCTTTTAGAATCCAGAATAAATCCATTTTACCAATATGAGAACACTGAGGATTGGAGAGGTTGAATGACTTGACCAACATCACACAGCAAGTTAATGCAAAAGCTAAGATTTCAATTGAAACTCATAAAACTTGTACAGTATTCCATCTTAATCTCACACTGTCCTAACTTCTCAGCACCATCATCAGGATGGAGCACTTCCCTCGTTCACATGCATTCTCTCCAACATCACTCACAATCAACAGGTTCTTGCTGAGCTCTTACCCAGTACTGCAGACCTCTGCCAGGATCATGAGCTCTGCAGTTCAAGTAGGGGAAAGTACAGCCTATCCTCAAGGAGCTTCATGCTGAACTGCACTTGCCAGGCCTTGGTGATACYCTAGCCTGTGTTCATCCAAAATAGAACCGAAGACTAACAAAGGAATATTATAAAAAAAACTTTATGCCAATAAAATTGGTAATTTGGCTAAGATGGGAAACTCCTTGAAAAACACACCAGAGATCAAAGTTCTCTCAAGAAGAAACAGAGACAAATGACCCTATTAAAGAAATTAAACTGATAGTTAAAAATATTCCTATAAGAAAACTTTAGGTCCAAAAGCTAAATTGAAAAATTCTACCAAATATTTAAAGAAGAACTTACACCAATTCTACCCAAGCTCTTCCAAAAAACTGATGTGTAGGAACTACTTTCTAAGAGTATACAAAGGCCAATATTATCCTGACAACAAAAGCTGGAAAAAGATAGTACAAGGAAAGAAAAATACAGGCCAACTTCCCTTGTGAACATAAATGCAAAAGATCTGTAGAAAATTTTAGCAGATTGAATCCAACTTCATATATAAAGACAGGGTAGTATATCCTGACCAAGCAGGGTTTATCCCAGGAATTCAAGGATGGTTTAACATTTGAAAACCAATAATACAATTCACCATGCTAACAAATTTAGAAGGAAAAACCTTATGATCATCTTTATAGGTGCAAGAAAAGTATTTAACAAAATTCACTCCTGACAAAAACTCTCAAATAACTAGGAATAGGAAGGACCTTTCTATCCCAACCYGAACAAGGGCATCTCCCAAACAAATCAAAAACACCACCAGCTAACATTGTCCCTAATGGTGAAAAACCAACGTTCTTCCCTACCATCCGTGAAAAGACAAGAAGGTCTGCTCTTACCACTTCTATTCAGCATTGTGATGAAGATTCTAGCCAGTTCAAGGAGACAAAAAAAGAAATAGAAGAAATTCATATTGGAAAGGAAAAGGTAAATCATAGTTAGTCTCAGTAGCATGATTATTCATGTAAAAAAAATTGATGAAGTTCACAAAAGTTACTAGAACTGTAAGTGAAATTGAAAAGGTGGTAGGACACCAGCTCTAATCATAAAAATCAATTGCATTTTTCCTATGCCCACGATAAAAAGTTAAAATAGAAATACCACTTACAGTAGCATTAAAAATATGAAATGTTATAGTAATTTTAAACTGAAAGCTGCCAACCATTGATGAGAAAAGTTAAAGATTTTTTWAAAAAGTGGGTGGGGGGGAGATATGCCATACATATTGGTTGGAAGACTCAATATTAAGAAGCTATTTATTCCTAAATTCAATATATTTATCTCACTCCCAGTCAAAAGCCCAACAGGCTTTTGTTGTTGTTGTAGAAATTGACAAGTTGACTTACACAGAAAGGCCAAGTACAGAGAATAGCCAAACGCTTTGAAAAAGAACAAAATTGGAAGATGAACACACCTGATTTCAAGGCTTATTATAAAGCTACTGTAATAAAGACAGTGTGGCATTGGCATTAATAGTCACAAATAGCTCTGTGCAGGCTGAAGTGTAGCTCAGTGGTATACYACTTGTTTAGTATGTGTAAGGCCCTGGGTTCAATCCCCAGCCCTGGAAGAAAGTATACAGAACAGAATAGAAAACAGAGAATCCATAAATATATTATAATAATTTGAGGCAAAGACACAAAAGTAAATCAGGGAATAAAGGGTAGGGTTTTTTTTTTCAACAAATAGTACCAGAAAAAATTGATACCCATTTTCAAAAAGAACTTCAAACTATACCTTATATTATATACAAAAATCAACTCAGAATGTACCATGGACCTAAATATAAAGACCAACATAGGAAACTTCAATGAGAAAATACTTTTGTGGCCATAGCTTAGGCAATGATATCTTAGCCCCATCGCAATAGCAAATCCATAAAATCCTGATATATTGAACTTCAACAAAATCCAAAATCTCTGCACTTTGAATGACATTCGTTAAAGAGAATGAAAAGCAAAGCATAGACAAAGTATTTATAAAACACTTATCTGAGAGAGAATTTTGACCCAGAATATATAAAAAACTCTTAAAAACTCATTAAGAAAACAAACTCAAAAATTTTTTAAGGGGCAAAACTTTTGAACAGGCACTTTATTAAATAAGATACATTGATGTCAATTAACTACATCAAAAGATGTTCACCGACATTGGTCACAAGGGAAATGCATCTGAAAGCCACAATAAAATACCACTACCACTTATTAAAACGGTCAACATTAAAAGAACTTGACCAGACCAATTCTTGGCAAAGATGTGGAGCAATTGGAATTCTAATACATGGCTGATGGGGATTTTAAAGGGAACAACCCCTTTAGAAAATCTTTGGCAGCTTTATAAAAAGTCAAGCTCTCACTATATGATCCAGCTATCCCATTCATAAATGTAGCCAAAATAATAAAAGCATGTATACATACAAAGACTTGTACATGAATGTTCATAGCACTTTGATTTAAAACAGCCCAAAACAACAGTCCAGACATTCACCAAGAGGTGAATGGATAAAGTAATTGTGTGGCATATCTGAAAGGCCARGGTTTGTCGTCGGAGATTAAAATGCACGCACACAGATAGCAGTGACAAWGATGAAGCACCTTATTGCAAGCTGGTGCTAGCTTATATTGAAAGTGAGAGTCAGTTATCTTAAACCAGGAAGCTCCCGGGGCCAATCATAGTAAAGGTCAGGTCATCACCTACAGTGCACGCATGTCCACCTTGCATTAGATTCATGGGGATCATGAACTGTTCACAAATGCGGAAGATGGGAGGACCAATTACAAAATTTTCAAAACAACTTGTTATCCGCCCACTGGCAACTTGCCTGCCGCCATGTCTGAAAGGCCTGGGGAGTTCTCAGGGAGACTCCCAACATTATTCATATGATGGAAAGCTACTCTGCAKTGCAGGGAATGAGCTCAGCAACAAAATGGATAAATCTCAAAATAAGCGTGAGAGTAAAAAAAGCCAGGAAAAAAAAAAAAAAAGAAAAACAAGCACATGTTATATGATTCTATATACATATTTAAAATTCTAAAAAATGGAAACTGATCTATAATGATAGAAAGAAAATAGGGGAGGGAGAGGGGGATGGAAAGGAGAAAAAAGCAGAGCAAAAGAAAATTTGGGGACATATGTGGATATGTTCACTGTCTTAATTTCATGAGTATGATATATAAATTTATGAGTTTCATGGATTTATTTAGTTGGTTAGTGTTATGGTTTGGATGTGAAGTACCTCCCCAAAGCTCACTGTGAGACAATGCAAGAGGGTTCAGAGAGGAAATGACTGGGTTGTGATTAACACAATCAGTGCATTAATCTCCTGATGGTATTAACTGAGTGGTAACTGGAAGCAGGTGGATGTGTCTGGAGGAGGTGGGTCATTGGGGGCATGGCTTTGGGTATATTCATACTTGAAAGTGCAGATCTCTCTCTCTCTCTCTCTCTCTCTCTCTCTCTCTCTCTCTCTCTCTCTCTCTCTCCTTTCTGATCATCATGTGAGCTGCTTTCCTCTGCCACATTTCTCCACCATGATGTTCTGCCTCACCTTGAGTCTCAGGGAATGGAGCCTGCTCTCTATGGAATGAAACCTCTGAAACCATGAACTCCTAAATAAACTTTTCCTTCTCTAATATTATTCTGGATGGGTCTTTTAGTCACAGCAGTGAAAAAGCTCACTAAAACAGTTACGTCCAGTAGTCCCTCTGTATCCACGAGGGATTGGTTCCAGGATCTTCCAAGGAGAACCAAAACCCTGGGTGCTCAAGTTCTTTTTTATAAATGGTAAAATAGTTGCATATAATCTATATGCCCCAACTTGTATACTTTAAATCATCTCTAGGTTATTTATAATACCTAGTATAGTAGAGATGTTATGTAACTGATTTGTCCAAGGAATAATGACAAGCAAAAAAATTTGGATGTGTTTGGGGTAGAAGCAATTTTCCCCAAATACTTTCAATCTGCAAGTGTATTGGATGCAGAACCCACATACTTGAAGAGCTGATCATGTTTAATCCTCTATCAGATATGTATTTTATTATTATTTTTATTTTTAAATGCATTTTATAAATATACATGTATATATAAATACACATATCAAAACTCAACAAATTGCTGTCTCTTTTTTAGAGTTTGAAAAATCCAATACTTCAGTTATTCTTTTTTTTTTTTTACTTAAGTTATTCT